TTTTTGATATTACTGGAGACATTAAAATTCGCTTTAAACAACACTTTGATCGACTTATGAAGGCGAGGAATTATACTCTTGATGAGATGTGTTACTCGGTAGCGGTAGATATTCGTAGTCTTGGAGGGAATATTAAAATCTCAACAGTGAAAAATTTTTATAGTGGTGTTGGTCGCAGTACAGTTGGTACTGTTAATCAGATAAACGCATGGGTAGCTAGTTTTAATAATAATGCGGAGTAGCGGGGAAGGAACTGCCAATATATGGGTTAGGGCCTGGCAGGCATTTATGCTTTATTTCTCCCTTGAAACAACCTGCTACTCTATTGTTTTTTTATTTTCATTTTTTACTTAGCCGGCCGGCCCTTTCTCATGTATTACTTTGCAAAAAAAAATATAATAAAGAATTTTACTTTGAGTTTTAAAATGTATATAATCGCCAATGCAAAATGATTGGGCGTCTTCACAACAAACGTGATTGAGATTACTAGGTATGAAAAAGATTATGGGCGTTTTCATTAGTTAGTATAAATTCGGAAATACATATAACAATTTCCTAATATAGTAATTAAAAAGGGAATCCGGATTTTTGATCAGAACGGCACTTCATACACAGGCTACGACTTGCCATAATAAGTCCCCTTTTTAATTTATTTATATTAGGATATTGTTATATTTCCGAACTTATACTAACTGCCCTATCTGAACAAATATACAAATGGATAATCAAACACTATTAAATTATCACATGCAAACGTACATATTGAAAAATCTCTTGGCAAAATAATGTATATGGAGCATATGAAATTTCTCATACACAAACTGATTTGGTGTAGATAGAATGCCTTTGTCGTTATATCTAAAATCAATCGAATTTTATCTTGAGGCAGGCGTATGGTCAACCGGGTTTTGTCTTCATTGAAGTTTTTGCTGATAGGCGTTATCATATCAGCTTTTTATAGAATATAGATTTTCACAAACTATTATGTTTTCGCAGACACATATCAATCAACTGGTATCCAGATAATCAATACAAATATTTTCCTGATTAGATTTTTTTGCCCTGCAAGTATAAATACTGTATGAGTTTTCGTTCGTTAACAGGTTAGGTTCTGTTCTGACCTTATCTTTTCTTATTATTAACTTGTGATCTATCTACAAAACATGATTTTAAGCAAAGAAAACATTCTCGAGCTTGCGCATGAATCAAACATTCCTTCACCAGAAGATTTGATAAAATTTTTAAAGAAGGAAAATATGGCTCCCGCGGTAGTAAAAATCAAGATTATTCCCCCCAGTATGAATAGCCCAGAACTAGATAAGAATATTGACTTATTAACTAGATTTATTAGCGGGGTTAGCACCCTCAACCTTTATCATGCAATGTCTGGATTTGATATCGACCATGTTGAAGAAACTACAAAATACATGAATGAGAAGGCCAAATCCTTTTTCGATCTAATAAAAGGAAAATTGATGTCAATAATTTTACCTGAAGAGACTCACTCATTTCTCCATTTTGAAGATACTACTACATCCGTTGAACTTCATCTTAGTCTTCTGAAAGAATTGTTTGCAAGCTTTAAATTCAAACCCGACGTCACGCAACAATTGGACTCAATTCTCACATTTGTTGGAGACAATTTGAAATCACTTGGACTTAATTGGCGAGAGACAAAACAAAATATTGGTTTCTTTACTAATGTCTTTTATGTCGAGTCTGGGAAAATAAAGTTACGTGCATTCTACTTACACATCGAGAATGAATCATGGAGTGTCCACATTGGTAAATCTGCAGTTGCTGGTCGCGAGAAGTTCGCTATGGATTACGATGACCTCTTATTTAATTTGAGTGATGGTGGGATGGCTGACAACAGGGAGTTTATGAAAGGTATAATTGATAAGATCACAAGCGGTGGTAGACAAGATATAATGGATTTTCTTGACGGTAAACGTGTGAATGTCTAAAATTGAATAATCACTAGTTTAAATTTATCTTTGAGAGAATCAACGTAATTATTTTTTTATCGTGATACTTAATATGTACTCATGTTTTTTTTCAATAAAGCAAAATTTATTTTTATATTATTCTAAAATTAATCTGAATTCATACTATATATTTCCTATATCAGTAAAGTGACCCCGGTGGTCAATTTTTTTTAACTCCGTATTTTGTATGTAAATATAAAATTAGCAATAAATCCTGATATGCTTAAAATCGAACAAAATAAAAATGAATCTGTTATTTTATTATAATATGCTTGCTATAAGTCTTTAAAACCACTATAAATCATCAATTTCGCTATAAAAGTCCCTATATCCGTAAAATGGCTAAATCTAACAACTATAATGGTTTAAATCCTGTAGTAGTGCAGGCGTTAAACAATCTGCAATATAAGTATAGTGGTGAAACACCAGAAATGTGGTGTTCTCGTATTCGTTATCCATTTAAGACACTTCTTGAATGTAACCCAAAATACTTCTCGAAGAATGGATTTATTCAAATGATTGAAAGAGTATATATAGATGGGGGATTTAAGGCTGAAAGGCGTTCACTATATATTTATTGCACTGTATGTGACTCCTTAGTAATTATCCGTGAAAATACCATTGAATGTGCCAATGATCACCTGAATAAATGTATTACTAAAACCGCTAAAATTCATTATAATCATGTACGAAAGAATATAAAAAAGGAGGGAGAGTAGCATTGCTTAGTCCTGATGAGATTGATAAGGTTTATCATACATATTCGGTTATGTACAGTAGAGGCTTGAATCATTATTCTTATGATCATTCACATGAAGGTAGGAAAAGAATTGTAAATCGTTTAATTGATAGTGCAAAAATTATCCAACAGGCTTGGAGAGCTTTTAAGTTGAGACCTGAAACTTGGGCAAAACAAGTTTGGAATATGGTAAGGAATGATGGTACTTCTAACGAAAAGAAGTTTATAGGAATAGATTTTAGTATTAAAAAAGCTCCTGATTATCATATAACATATGATGTAGATAAGAAGAAAGATCAGTTACGTGATCGATTAAATCTTGTATCATATATAGTTGCTTTTATAGAATTACATAGGCAAGGCTATAGAATCGTTCAATATGCAGATTGGTCTTATTCGTTAAAGTGGTTATCAAATCCTGAAGATTATCGTATTGACAAATACTTAAACAATGGCAATGTAAACTTTGTTAGAAGTTCAGAATATGCACGATATAAATGTAAAATAGCAGGCAGACTATATCCATGTGATTCGCTAAAAATCGACTATTATAATACTGGATATTTCTATTTTCAAGAGAAAGGTGTTAATATAGATTTCTCAGATTTTAATAATAACTGTGAGTATGTACAACGAATTTTCCGGACTATAGAATCAATATTAAAATAGTATATTTGTATTCATATTCATATTCATATTCATATATAATTATTAATAAATCAATCAATTTATTTTTTTTACTTTGCACATGCATGCAGTGATCGCCTAGTGAAATGTATCACCTGCAGGATAAAAATCGCTATGCATGATCTACCTATTCTGGGTTAGATCCTCCAATATTGTATAACTATTTTAATAAAGTATTTCAGGAAGATCAATGAAGCGGTCTTGGGGATTCTTGATTGCGAAACAATATAACTATCAGTTTAAAAAATTCTATGCAACAGTTATCCAACAAGCTTATAGGAATTACAAGAAGAGACCCGAATCTTCGGCAAAACGAGTTTGGGAGGCGGTGAGGAATGATGGTACTCCTGATAGAAAGAAATTCTTAGGTATACTTGGGTATTATCAGAAGGTAAAAAATCCTGAGACGCAAGAAGAATATGTTATAGCTTGCGAAGAGTTTTATGCTGATTTTAGAAAATATTACTCAAAATACATTGGAATAATTAATCCAATCAAATTAACCCCACCATATGAGGAGTATGTTTATTGTTCTTCTAGTAGATGGATAGACGTTAAGAAACATCAGTTAGAACGACGATTGAATAGGGCAACATACGGGCCCACTCCTGATTTCTCAGGAAGATTTTTGTTAGAATTGCTATCTACTATTAACTATTATCATATAAGACAAATGTCAGTGTGGCGTGCGACATAAATTAGCACGTTTTGCGATCCTCGTTAAAGGGTATATGATGTAATAAGTGATACATCGCAAATCATCTGTAACTCTGTGTGACTGCTTGTGCAACAAATTAATTTTCACACATAAGAAATCGATCCCCAAAATATTTCGAATTTTTTTCCCTATCTATCTGAATAGCATTTATTTATGAGCTTATTTTCTCCGATGCTAGAGGCTATTCCTACTAGATTTCGACTGAAGTATATTTATATAATGTTACTAGGCCTTTATTACTGAGCGGTCGGGCAAGTGAAATAAAGAAAAAAGTATGTATATGCATTATCCCCAGCACCTTTGAAAATGTCGAGATCTTCAATGCACATTCCACATGCCCTTATTCTCGAACACAAAATTTTGGCGTAAAAGTGCCTTGCATATTCTTCTACTTGACCCCAACATGAATTCAGATTCAGAGAAGATGGTAAATGGAGATTTAAAAGGGCAAGTATATAGAATTCAAGTTATTTGTCGCTTATTATTCTTTCAGCGAAATTCTAACACTATATTTTCGCCATTATGTCTTCTTCCGCATTATATGAAAATATTTATAATTTTTTACTTGATTCACCCTCAGACCATATTACCGCATTTTCTGTTATTTTTCAACTAATAGAAGATGATACGTGGTATCCAAAAGATAAGTTAAGAGAAAT